AGCTCTTCAGCTCAAGGCTAGATCTCTACCACTTGAGCCACAGCACCACTTCCGGCTTTTTTCTTTTTTTGCTTATGTGGTGCTGAGGAATCGAACCCAGGGCCTCAGGCATGCAAGGCAAGCATTCTACCACTGAGCCACCTTCCTAGCCCCTGGTTTCTTTCCTTTTCTTTTTAGAGACAACCCAAACTGGCCTCAAAACTGTGATCCTCTTGCCTCAGCCTCCTGAATAGATTGCCCAAGGCATGCACCACACCACACCTACATTGCCCCCTCCCCCAGCCTTTTTTGTTGTTTTTTTGTTGCTGTTGCTGGTTCTAGAGCTTGAACTCAGGGTCTAGGCACTGTCCCTTGGCTTTTTCATTCAAGATTGGTACTCTACCATTTCAGTAGTAGCTTCTCTTCCAGCTTTTTGGTGGTTATTTATAGAGATTTTCTTACAGATTGTCTTGAACCATGATTCTCAGATCTCAGCCTCCTGAGTAGTTTAGGATTACAGGCCTGAGCTGCTGGCACCTGGCTCCCTCTGCATTTTTGATGGCTCCACAGATGATTTGGTCAGGCTCCACCCACTTCCCATCTACAGGCTCACATCATTCCTAGCCCAAGCTTTGGGGATGCCTCTGGCCACCACTTTCAAAAGTCACCACCAAGTAGTACCTGCAATACACAGGTGACCCCCCCACCTCCCGCCCCCTGTGCCCAGATAAGGACATGTCCCCATTCTGGAATATGACATACTAAAGGGACAGGCCCACTTCTAGGTGAGCTGCATGTAAGCGTAGCCAAGCTCACAATCCTTTCACCCCATCCCACCCTGCCATCTCCCTGGTGAAATAAAGATGCCTCCTTCTGGAGCATGTGACACACTTGCGTGTGGCAGTGCCAGCACAGTGCCAGTGCAGAGTAGGCACTTGGCAGCTGCTAACCAAAAAATGTTGTCATCAACAGGTATCCATGCCAAGGGGGTCCCCACCTCATTTCATTTCTTTGAGGGGCTCCCTGGACTTCAGGGCTTTGGAATTTGTTTTTCCGAATCTCTTCCCTTTACCTCACCCTCCCCACTCCACATGGCGATGGCAGGTGGGCGTGGCTGTCTAGAGTTTCTTGGTTAGAGTGTCTAGTGTCTCCTGGGCTTGGGCTTCTGGTCTTTGGCTTCAGCTCACCCATGCAGAGCACCTGTGTGAGGTGTCAATGACGAGTCCCAGTGACGGTTGTCAAGATCTCTAAGACTGTGGCTTAGTGCCAGGCATGACTTTCTCCAGGACCCAAGGCAACCTGTGAGAAGCGCTCAAGTTTGCAGCACTTCCTCAGTTGTTTGATGAAAAGTCTGCACCGCTGTGACATGTTTCTTCAGACAGTGACTCTCCTTTCAGTCCTGGGGCCATGGCTGATTGGGCAGGATGCAGCTTAGAGCCACTCGCAAAGGGAGCACTGGGACTTGGATGGGGGCGGGGCGGGAGGGTGGGTAGAGGGGGTGTCATCCATCCCTTTTTCAGCATGGAAACAAGTCCCTCCATGGAGGAAGATACTGCAACCCTCATGTCTCATGCCTGGTACTGCACCATTCTCCTACATCTAGTGCCATGCCTGGCACAGTCAGGGTCCAGTAAATGTTTTTTTGGATGGATGGTCTTTAAACAAATTTTAAATGTGCACATGTAGATAGGTAGGTAGATAGGTATCCTTGGACTTGCTATGTAGCCCATAGGTGTAACTCAAAACATGCCTCCGCATAGCATAGTGTCAGCATAGCACGCAGCTCTGAATTCAAATCCTAGTGCCCCCCCCTCACCGCCACACACACAAGGCAAAGAGCAATCCTGTCTAGTGTCTCTGTGTGAATGTGTGAATATACTCTGTTCCCCCTTGTGCCACTCCAGGGGTTCCTTTCCATGTCGTAGAGGGGTGGGATGCCCAGAAACAACTTGTGGGTAGTCTCAGAGGCCCTGGTCTGCCATGTCCATGATGGCCCCTCTTTCCTTCTGTCCAGGCATCTTTTGAGGTGTCCGTGGAGGCCCGGAGCTGCCCTAGCAGACACACAGAGCACAAGTTCGCCCTGCGGCCCGTGGGGTTCCGGGACAGCCTGCAGGTGGCGGTCACCTACAGCTGCACGTGCGGCTGCAGTGCGGGGCTGGAGCCCGACAGCATCAGGTGCAGCGGGAACGGCACTTACGTCTGCGGCCTGTGTGAGTGCAACCCCAGCCACCTGGGCACCAGGTGTGAGTGCCAGGAAGGAGAGAACCAGAGCGGGTACCAGAACCTGTGCCGGGAGGCTGAGGGCAAGCCACTGTGTAGCGGGCGCGGGGAATGCAGCTGCAACCAGTGCTCCTGCTTTGAGAGCGAGTTCGGGAGGATCTACGGGCCCTTCTGCGAGTGTGACAGCTTCTCCTGCGCCAGGAACAAGGGCGTCCTCTGCTCAGGTAGGCGCCTCAGCCAGCCAGTGCTTTTGCTCTGAGCCAGCCCCAGGTCAAGGGGCTGTTCACATTCTTTGGGATGGGCACAGTGAGGGTCAGCGCCACAATGCCCTGGAGAAGACCCGGGACAAGCCAGGCCATCTGCAGCACCAGGGTGGGCACTTGTATGTGGATGCTAATGGAGAGGACTTGGAGGTACAGGGGAGGACTCCCAGAGTTCACCTAAGACCTGCCTGGACAACACAAAGCTAAAACAGTAGAGTGCATGCAACAACATGTCACGTTGAGAGCAGTACCTCTCCTTCCACGGAAGACACCAGTGCTAGGGCTGCACCGGGGTAGGCGAGCAGGGGAGGCCCTCTGGAGCAGACCTGGCATGAGGCATGTTTGAGTTACACCCATGGGAGTTCCATTACAGTGTATTCAAAATTACCATTGCCTGGGAAAGGGGGAGATGTGTGCATGCCACAGAGCAAGGCAGGTGGAAACATGAGGATTCCTTGCACCAACCTTTGCCACGGAGCCCCTCTCTTTTGCATCAGAGCGATGAGAACTTGGTTGTAGCTGGATGGGTTTGTCTGGGGTCATACGGGCGGTGCAGCGGGCAGGCCTGGGCCGCACTCCCTAACACCACTTCTGCTGTGGGAACTTGGGAGTAGAGGTGGTGTGAGAAATGAGAGACTGAGGGAAGCCCTTGGCATGAGAGGATTCTCGGGGGGGGGGCAGGCTCCTGTATGAGTCAGTGCCACACCCCGCTGGGAGCTGCAGTGATGGTCTGCAGGCGGTGCCATCCTTGGCCTGTAATTCTCCAGGCTTTGCCTAAGCACCTGAAGCATGGTGGATGGAGTTTCTAGTTCCCTTGTTGACCCCCATAAGAATTCCCTAAGTCCAGCTATTGCTCTTTTAGCAGTTCGTGTTCCTTTTGTTTTGTTGTGTGTGTGTGTGTGTATGTGTGTTGGTTCTAGAGCTTAAGTTCAGGATTTAGGGCCTCAGCACTGTTCCTGAGCTTTTTATGCTCCAGGTTAACACTCTGCCACTTGAGCTACAGCTTCACTCTGGCTTTTTGGTGGTGAATTGGAGATAAGAGTGTCATGAACTTCCTTCCCTCGATTTGAATGACTTTAAACCACAATCCTCCGATCTCAGCCTCCTAAGTAGCTAGGGTTACAGGTATGAGCACCTGTACCGGGCTGATGGTGAGTCCAACTCACCATCTTCCTGCCTGAGCTTCCCAAGTACTAGAATTATAGGCATGTACCATAAAACCCAACCCAACTTTTCTTTCTCTTTTTTTGATAGTTTTGGGGCTTGAACTCTGGTCCTTGTGTTTGCTAGGTAGATGGCTCTTAACACTGAGCTATGCCTCAAGCCCTGATTTTTTTGCTCGTTATTTTTGAGATAGGGTCTTGCTTCCTGACTGGACACATGCTCAGGTACAATCCACCCATGTTAAGTGTCTGGTAACTAGGGTATCAGGTGCCCACCACTACATCCAGCTTTTCATTAAGAGTGTGTCTCAAAAACATTTTTCTGTCCATTCTGGCCTTGAACCTATCCTCATAATCTTAGCTTTCTAAGTAGCTAGGATTACAGGCCTGCCTGAGCCACTGGAGACCAGCCATACTTTTCTTTTAAAGAGCTATTAGCAAACATCTCTTTCCCTTCAGGAGAGCCAGAAATAACCCCTAGAAATATTTTTCCCCACAAGGCTGTGCAGTCAGTGTTGCCTGGGAATAGATTTGCCTGTGTAAATTCCATCCCACAATCTATCAGCCTGAGACTTTGGTTTCTTCCTTGGGAGTATATATTTCCCATATCAAAAGTGGTCCAAGACCACCTGCATCATCTGTGAGCAGCTCACAGAACATGGTAGTTGCTGGGTGATTGGTAGAGGTATGAGTGGCCTTCCAAAGGAAATACTTGTCATTGTGGAAACAGGAATATTCTGAGTGAAGACATACTTTTTGATTGAACCAAAGAACCCACAGCTCAAGTTAATCTTGTATTTCAGCATTCTGCCAAGCTGTATCCAAAAGTCCTTGGGCGTTGGCTTTTTCTTTTCTCTTCACCTATACAACCTGTGGTATCAGGAAACTTGGGTCATGGGGCTGAAAAATTGGAGGCTTCCAGGTGAACGATTGCTTCAGTTCCCTCACTTTCCTGGGACTGCTGAGACAGAATGTCACCATCCTTCCTTACCCCACTGGAAAAGCTATCCTCATTCTTGAAAGAAAAGCTGTGGAGTACAGGACGGCTGATGGATGTGTGGTCTGTGTGTGTGCTGTCTTTCTCCTTGGTGGGGATTGATGGGGACCATCTGGAAAACCGGTCACAGGGCCCTTTGCTCTCTTACTGGTTCACATGCATCCCCCCACAATCCCCCCCCAAAAAAACTGCTTGGTCCACAGAAAAACCTTTACAATGAATTGTAAAGTTATTCTTAAGTCTAGAAAGTTCTAAAGAATAGAAAGATTAAAATTTATCCATAATCTTATCACTCATATTTCAAGTGGTTTCTAGCTCTCCTTTTAAACTTTTTCCTAAGTTAGCATGTGTGTATTTGCATGGACTTTTCTATCTTGCTTCTCTCCCTCTCTTCCCCTCCTGTAATACTATATCTAGAGGGGCACTTGAAGTTGAACCCTATGATTTAATGAGACATGGACTGGAACATTTTTACTCTGCTTTCATTGTCCCTTCAGCTACAATCTTCTAACCCTTTACTTTAAAAGTTACATCTAGTGGAAATGTACAGCTATCCAAGTCTTCTGGAGAGGAACAAAAAAAGGTCTTTGATGAGGTCATCGCTGTGTTTGCTCATTGAAGAAGGACTTAAAACTAAGCCTGACTCCAGACAGGAATCGATGACACATATTCCTTCAGAGTCCTTAATGTCCTCCCACCTCACACTTCCTGACCTCTTAAACTCCTGGCTCCTTCTGGTGGTAGCAGTTGAATGTGTGGTGAGGAGTTCCACCAGTCCCTAAGTACTCATGGTTAGCGGCTCTCCTGCTGCGGGTCTGGGCACCCTGGTTTGGAGAACTTGACTTGCTGTTCCATTTGGGGTTTTCATGATAGAGAAGCTATTTCCCAACCCCCCTCTGTTCCCACACATGCTGACGAAGGTGCACAGGCTGCCAAGCTTAGCGTTCTCTGGTGGCGCCTCTCCCTTCTTCCCCTCTGCAGCCTGTGGTAGAAGGGAATCGTGTGGTTGTGGCCTGTCTTCTGAGTGGGGGCTGCGGGGTGCATATGAAGTAGCAGCTGGGGCAGAGCCAGGGCTAGGATCATTGAAGACACCCGGAGAAGCTCCTTCATGTCTCTTGTGCCCTCTAGAAGAAGCTTTGCATCTTGCTCCCTACTGAGAGACAGAACTGGACAAATGCAGGAGGCCACAGGTTTAGAGCAGGTTTTCTATGATGAAAATGAGCAGTGCAGCAAATCAGACCCAGGTCTGGAAGCAGTTGAACAGTTCTCGTTACTTTTGTGACATCCCATCCTAGGAATGCTTGTGTACTCTGGGTGCTCCCTCCCCCACTGCTTTCTAGAAATATTACAATTTAGAGAATGGTCCATCTGTCCATTGTCTATTGCTGGGTGTGCAAGGTGGACTTCATTGGGCCATTTGGGAGATTCTGTTCTTTTGAGTCTTTCTGAAGTGTCGACTCTTCAGTACTCCTCCGGCTATGGGAAATAGTCATCGTCTGTTCAGTTGTTTTAATGTATTGGAAGAGTCTTGCTCACACTTTGTTGTTCTTGGTGGTTTCTGTACCCAAATCATGCGTCTCCTTGGATCCAAGTCACTCTCTTGTGGTACAAATTAGGATCCGGCTCTGCGTGTAGCATTAATGCTCTGAAGCACATTGAAATAATTTTCCAACTGTTATCCTTCCTTCTGGGTTTCATAGAAGGAGAAAATTTAGATCAAATAGGATATGGAATTTTAGTCTCATCTGTAAGGACCCCCCCCAAGTACATTATCTAAGTAAGTTTCTCTTTAAAGCATGGAAAAGCGAGGTGTGACCCCAGTGCACCTTCTGCTAGTAGGCTGACGCCGTCTTCCAAGAAGAGGTCCTGGGTCCATGCTGACAAAATTCTGTTAAACTTCTACAGTTAAGCTGTACACCAGTGGCTCATGCATTCTTGGGATCACAGTGTGTGATACAGAGGCTCACAATTTGAGAATAGACGAGGCAGAATAGTTTTCAAGAACCACTTCCTAATCCATGGCTGGGGTGGTGGACATGTCTGATATCCTGACTGTATGAGAGGCCACGCTTAAGAGCATCAGTGTTCCAGGTCAGCCAGGCCTAGCCAGAAGAGGCCCATGAAACTCCATGCTAGTGTACTGTCCCATTCCTGAAACAGCAGGGGAGAGAGGAAAAAAAAAAAGGATTGTGATCCAGGCATGCACCCTGCAGGAAGCCAAACTATATCTCTGAAAAGATGTGGAAGTATGGATGAACAGTAGAGCACCAGCCTAGCCAGCTCCAGTGTCAACAAAAACAATAAGGTACTCCTAATAGGAAGGCCCAGTTCTGGGTTTCTTAGCTCTCCCCAAGTGAAATACCCTAGCATCACTTTCCAGATATGTTGAAATGTACTTCTCAATTCATGAAGCTTAAGTAGAGTTTTCCAGAAGAGCCTTGAAAGAAGCTTTCTACCAAGAAAAACAGGAAGGCAAGACAGTAAGAGGAGCCATATGCAAAGGGGCAGGGATGGAAATTCTTGTCAAAAAGTTGTAGATCATAAAATTTTTATAGATCAGAGGCTAAAAGTAGGAGACCAGATGAGGAATAAGGCTAGGCAGTAAGTTGTTCAGCATGATATAATTTTAAAAGCAAAGAAAGGGTTAATCCAGTTCAGTGGAGGATAGATGTGTGGAGCTCAGCATGCCCCAGGAGAAGGCTTCCCCAGTGCTCTCCGCCAGCTGCATGTACTTTTTGTTTGTTTGTGGGTATTGAATCCAGGGCCTGGGTGCTATCCCTGAGCTTCTTTTGCTTAAGGCTAGCACTCTGCCGCTTGAGCCTCAGCACCGTTTCTGGTTTTTGAGTAGTTAATTGAAGATAAGAGTCTCACTTTTTTTTTTTTTTTGGCCAGTCCTGGGGCTCAAATTCAGGGCTGGGCACTGTTGATGAGCTTCTTTTGCTCAAGGCTAGCACTCTACCACTTGAGTCACAGCACCACTTCCGGCTTTTTTTCTGTTGGTGTGGTACTGAGGAATTGAACCCAGGGCTTTATGCATGCTAGGCAAACACTCTACCACTAAGCCACATTCCCAGCCCTCTATCTGCACTTCTTACCTCTAACTTAACCAGTTCAAGTGTGCACTGCCCCCACTCTGCTCTTATGCTCCTGGCCCTTATCAACCAAGATCTAAAGATCTAGAAAGACAGCCTCAAATCTCAGCTCACCTACCAATCTTTCATCATGAGAAGTATATGCTGTGTTGGCCCTCATGGAGTCTTGTGGAATGACATCCTGAGGTCTCATGGCTTCTGCAGCAGTTTTCTTCCCTTGGCCAGATGTGCAAAGTATATCTGACACTTGCACCAGTATAAGACCCTCCTGTGGAACCTGCTGCCTGTAACATAGGGACACACTCTGGCATGGATCATGAAGTGACTTATAATGTCACTCCCACCGATTTTCCCTTTTCATTGTCCATTTGTGGTGTTTGACCACAAACTACTTCTTAGGCTCAGAACAACGCCTTGTATGCTGCTCTCACATCACTCCTTATAAGGTCTGTAATTAGCTATAAACAATACTGCCCGACTAGCTGGCTTTACCCTGAGCTCAAAGCAGACAGGACAATGCTTGACTGGTCCTGAAGTTCCAGAGTAGGTATAATATGAATAATAAACAGATAGACCAAAAAAGCATATTTCTCATCATAGAATTGTAATTTCAAAATCAGTAGTCTGGTGACCATTCCTGGGGCTCTGGATCCCTGCTCTGTTTTCTGTCTTTGCACATTATTATTAGCATAGTCCATCTTTTGTGTGTATATGTGTGCATGCATGTGTATGCTAGTACTAGGGCTTGAACTCAGGATCTGGGTACTGTCCCTGACCTTTTGTGCTCAAGGCTAGTGTTCTACCACTTGAGCCACTGCTCCACTTGGCTTTTTTTTTTTTTTTTTTGGTCAGTCATGGGCCTGAACTCTGGGCCTGGGCGCTGTCCCTCAGCTCTTCAACTCAAGGTGAGCGCTCTACCACTTCAGCCATAGCACCCACTTCCAGCCTTTTCTGTTTATATGGTGCTGAAGAATCGAACCCAGGGCCTCAAGCACTCTACCACTGAGCCACCTTCCAAGCTCTCCTCTAGGCTTTTTGACGGTAAATTAAAGATCAAGAGTCTCACAGACTTTCCTGCCTAGACTGGCTTCTAGCCACAATTCTCAGATATCAGCCTCCTGAATAGCTAGGATTACAGTTATGAGCCACTGGTGCCCTGCTTTGCATGTTCAATCTTGTATATGGTTTCCATGACGAAGGTTTGCAAATGCACCTTCTGAATGAAACAAGATGGGGCTTCCTTGATTTCCAGAAAGGATTCTCCTGAGGGAGTGCCCCACTGTATTTCAGGTAGAAGTACCTAGAAAAATCAAGGCTTTTGCACATATATTCATTTCTGTTCAGTTTGTTAATAGTTTTATTGGCAAATATAATGATTTTATATATATTATATATATGATAGATCTATCTCTATGTTAGAAAAAGGACAGCTCTTCACCCAAAAGAAGCCCTCAGGCAGATGTTAGGGACCTGATTAACAATTTCCTCCATTTGGGATTAAATAAATTGTAATTATACACACATTAGGGAAGTCTATGAGAGTACTGATCTACTTTGGAGCACTCAGAGTATGGTGGCTCTGAGATTAGAATCTGCTATAGGAAGCTGGGAGCTGGTGGCTCGTGCCTGTAATCCTAGCTACTCAGGAGGCTGAGATCTGAGGATCATTGTTCAAAGCCAGCTTGGACAAGAAAGTCCGAGAGACTCTTACCTCTAAATAACCACCAGGAAACGGTGGCTGTGGCTCAAGTGGTAGAGTGCTAGCCTTGAGCCGAAGAACGCAGGGGCAACACCCAAGCCCAGAGTTCAAGCTCCATGACCAAAAAAAGAATCTACTACAGGATTTTTCAATTAAACTGTGATTAGTAGAAATGATAAGCCCATAATTGTCAAAGACATTTCTGCAGCTACAGTTTACTGGGTGGTTGGTTGGGGGCAGTATGTGTTCCTTGGAATTGTGATGTTAACACAGGTAGCATGGCCAGAAGCCATGCTGTTAACCAGCAGAGGCACACATCTTCTTGTCTCCTCTACAAGAACACTATAAGAGCCTTTGTAGGCATACATGAGTAATGGAAAGAAAATGGCTTTGGAGGGACCAGCATCAGAATTCTAACCTGGCTCTGGCCTCTCTCTCCCTGTAGGATAGCATCTGTAAAACTTCCACAGTATTTCACTTCCTGTGTGCCGTCCTGAATATATTTTATTCCCTGGCCTCTTCCACCTTGTAGAAACATCCATGATATGGAAACAGGATGCTTTTAGAAAATTCTCAAAGGCATTTCACCTGTTTGCACCCAGTGCTCATTTCACTTGAAATGCAAAAACGTGCCAGAATGTGGGGTTTGATTGTTCAGTGAGACAATCTATCCTTAAATTAGTCAGGTGAACCAGCTGAGCTGAGCTGAGCAGCTCTGGCGTCAGCTAGCCTCTTGCAGCTTGTGCAGAGAGAAGCCAGATCTTAGGCAGTGCAGCTACAGATATGTCAAAGTATCTTCACCCAGGGTCATCTTGTTTTAGGCAGGTTACTCCAGTCGTCTCATTCAACAAGAACTCATTGAACATTCCCCATCTGTCAAGTGTTATGCTGAATGCCAGGGCTGGAAAGCCTGAATTAATTTCTAAGTGTTTGTTGCCCTTGGAATTTTCCACATCTCAGAAACTCCTTGGGGTTGAGGAATGGGAGTAAGAATCACCTTTAGCTGCTATTTCACCCTGCAGAATCTTGAGACCTTAAATGATAAGGACCTATGTTAAAGGACATTTTAAGTACCCATGTGGCTCCATGCTCTGAACTTAGCTCTGAGAATGGGGTTTTCTGGCTGCTCAGGTCTTGTTTCAAGAATCTTCTAACACCACAGTTCACCAGTGATTCTAAAAAGGAAAGAAATGGTCTAGGATGCCTCATCAACCCTTCTCTCTATTTGGGACGCAAATAGACGACCTTGTGCTGAGGATTCTAAATGAGTTGAGTTCCTTTGAACTTCCAGTCTGGTCCTTAAGGTCATGAAGTTTGCCTTCTGTGGGATATGATGAAGTTTAAAAACAGAAAAATCTAGGGCGAC